TATATATATATATATATGAGAGAGAGAGTTGCCGTAAAGTTTATGTACGTGAAATTCATTATAAATTGAAAAAATTAAACGGAAATATGAAATTTATTGACTTACTGTGTATTTTTATATACCTTCAAAGATTCTTATAAGTTTTCATCTCTTTTTTTTTACAAATTTTCTGTTGCATGTGTATTATTTATTGATCACAATAATAAAAAGTATGTTTGCATACTATACAATTGATAATGAACTTCTATTGAAATTAATTAAACAAAAATCCAGTTAAAATGCAATCATTAATATAAGATGAAAGTAGATTCTTTCTCTAGTTTGACACTTACATTGATAGAATAATTTTCGTCCTCACTGTACGTGTGAAAGGGATGGGGGACATATAAGGAAAGACTCTAGTGCTGATGTTACTTTGGCAAAACGCAATCGCCACCGTTAATGGATCGGGCGTTATTATCGCATTTCGTTACAGAATGCTGCCTTAAAGTCTTTTCTTTCCATTGGATTCTGGACAAAATTTCGATAGGCATTTTGCTATTTTCTTTTCTTCGTTTTGTCTCTTTTTCAATTTGGCATTAGGCAGTCAAGGCGACGGCTACGTCGCTGGAAACAGTAAAGCACTGTTCTATAATCATTTTTTTCTTTTTCCCTTTAATTTCTCATCGTTGCTAGATCAAAAAAGGAAGAAGTCAAAAAGTACGTTTTTAGTATCTACCCTTAACACTAACAGTACAATCTTTTCCCATGAGGAAAACATTTGCTTGCTCTCACTCTCTCTCACTCTTTTTCTAATCTACGACAACATTAACGTTAGTTCCTATCGTTTATCATTTTTTCATGATATGGTTTCTTAAGGTGCGAAGGCTGAAGGATAAGCTAAACGGTCTGTTATTCGCAGCACGTTGTCGATTATTCTTATTTCTTTTTTTCTTTTAATAACGTAGAAATAAGCATAAAATTATAGATAACAGGAACGCACGTCAGATGCGTTCTTCGGTTCTGTCTTTTTTTCTCTTTACGATATTCATATTGTGTTGTCGTAACGGTGATGATCATTCTCGCTGCGCAAATCACTATGGAAATGTGCAACACTGTCATTCTTACGTTCCAACCACTTTTGTCTCGCGAGAAGAATCTACGTGTCCTCTTCCGTTCGCTTTCTAAAGGCTTAACAATAAATCGCGGTTCAGTTCGCTCTATTGAAATCGGGAATAGAATTCTAATAGGAATAAAGTATTAAATAATAAAATCTGAAAATAGAGTATTTAAACTACAGCAGCCTGGGGCTAAAAGTCTATAAAATGGAATACAAAAAATACGTCGAAATCTTTAACGAGAAAAGGAGTATAAGAACTAATGAGCTATTTTTCTTCATCGTATCATTTGCTTTTTTCTTTTCTCCCGGAGGCTCGCAATATATCTTTTTTCTTTCATGTGTCACTTCTTTCTTTTTAACGAACCTACTATGTACGTATCTTTCGACGTCTCTCTCGCCGAACGTGTCACCTGATCCTGCTCACTTGCTCGGCCGTGTTTTCTAACGTGGTTTGTGCGCTAAGAGAAATATTTGCCTGTATCACAGACTTCTTTGATAACATCGCTGGTCATGCCCCATGTGTTGCAGAGTTACGTTAATTAAATAAATACATAATTTAATTGAAAGCTTCTCCTCCTCGTCGCTTATTGCGATTTAGACAAAGATCTATCTTAGCCGGTACTCTCCCTATAAAACCGTGTTTTTGTTTGACGCTGCTTCTTAAAAAGTCATATACGGTAAACACAGCAAATTTCCTTAGAAAATTGTCTTGCGTTTACTCGTCACGAATGAATGTGGTGTTCTCAGCGGCATTCCCCTAACCAACGAAATCCATGAATCGTTTCTCTTTTCCTTTTCTAATTGATTTAAATACGATATGTCTCTACTGATGCGCGAAGTGACGATATTTTGTTCGCGCGGTCTCGTTAAGTTTTACATAAAAACAGTGAGAACACATAATAATGGATTGCAACGGGTGAAGGGAAGGAAAATGATAATAATAACATGTAATTGGCAGCATTGGAATACTTGCCTGATCAACTCCAACTCCGGTTTAAAGCTGAGGACTGTTTTCTGACTACACGCGACACTTGCTCTATGCTGGATTTCTTTTTTTTATCATTCTTTTGTTTGTGTTTTTTTCCTTTCGCGTTTGTTTTTGTCTTTTTTATATTAGGATTTGATGGTTATCGGGTTTGCGCGCAAGCTTAAGCTGATGATCCTAATTGGCAATATCGATGAACACAAACAAACGGCAAAACGTGTGGCTTTTGATGGGTGCGAAGGAAGTTTACGTTGGATTGGGAGATTGCTGTTGAGAACTATACTCCAATAGGGCTATCGGGAACGTCTTGATGTGCGTTTGCCACTGCGCCGACAGTTGGAAGAATTTTACGCCGTACCATTCAGTACCGTCGATGCTCACTAGAAACACGAAGGAAATAATTGTACTACTAAATTACACCATCGTTACACAGATTCGACTCCTATTAACACGTTGACTCCCACGGTGGTCACTGGTGACCGGAACTTCAAAATTGCTTAAATGCAATTACAATATGAAAACTGATGTCGAATAAAAATACTTAGTAACACAAACAGCTAGATGATAGTGTAACATGTGTACTGTGATACCAAGTCATTAATAATTATTTCTAATACCATTTGCCTTTCTTATGAAAGAATATGTATTGTTATACAAAACGTTCGAAATTCTCGTGGCAGTCAACGTGTTAACGTTAACATTGCGTCGAAGATAATTTTAGAAAAGGATATTTGTCTTTTGTAAGTCCATTTGTAAAAAGAATATTCATGTTTTCGATAAACTCTTAAAATGTGAATACGCCAACATTGCTAAGAAAATCAGTATTTCTCTTTTAAAGATATATAAAAAAAAATTAAAGTAAAGTCTGTTAATCGCGATTGGATGATCAATATAAAAGTAAGAAGTGCACGAGGGTTAATCATTCGAGTGTGCAAGTTAATGGCTAAATTATTTAAAAAGAAAAATAAATTCAACATTTCAAACTCACATATTTGGACTCATAATTGTAAATTAATTTTAAGTACCCAAACGCCATACGATTTAACTTTAAATCTAAACTAGTAGACATTGAGGATTTTATTTACCTCTTAATGGAATGTTATGAGTTTTCGCAGAACATATTAGTCGCGTGACGCCGTCGACCGTTTGACTCTTTGGCTCGTTTTCCTTCTCTTTTTCTTTCTTCTTGCCCAATCTCATTACTGTAAAAGTAGCAACGTTATGGGATGGTATTACGTGAAAGAAAGCAAAAAGGAAGTAATCTGAAAACGTTCAAATATGTTTCATTAAGTTAATAGTCGAACATCGTCTCGAGTGTACGCACTTTTCTGTTTCTTCTCTTTCGTTGTGTAATTCATGGACAGATGATTGCCAGGGGTTTCCCCGTGAGGCGGGAGTCTTTGAACGTGGAGCGCCCTGAATGCCTGCCTCAACGTGTTCTTGCCCTTTTCTCCCTGAGTCTGCTTACTCCAGTAATCAAGTTGCAGCTCGACCGGCTCCCAACCTTCCCTCATTGGTTGACCGACATTGGGACTGCTCGGTGGCGTTAACCGACCGGGCGGCGGGATTGGCAGACCCGGGGGTGGCAAAGAGGGCGGCGAACCGGACATCGTGGCGTTGCTTTCATCCAGATCGACCGAAGCAGAGGAACTGCTATCCGGACAACCCACCCGGACATCGTTTATGAACGGTATAAATATCTGGCTGCTGTCGTCCGTCTCCCTGGAAATTAGGATAAGTATATGGTAAGTACTTTTGTCAATGGAATACGAATTTTATGAATTCATGGCATTTTAGAGTTTCTAAAGTTTTCTAGAGAAAAACGCTACGGCACAATCCGTAATGAATTATACAGATGAACTTAGTCTGTCAGTTCGATTTATTGAGTAGATTTGACTGTTTACCATGTGTAAAATTATATTACAAAGTTAATTATAATCAAAGTATATTACGATTTCGTTCAACATAAGTAAGAGTGTTAAAAGGTTGAACACTATTCACTAGGATTGATCTAAGTTTCATAAAATCACATTCTTATTATGTTATAATAAGCGAAGCCCTAAAATGTTATGCTAATGTAAAATGCGGCGTAGTAATACATTTAATAAGGTCTAATGTCATTTCTTTTTCTTAATGAATTAGAATCACTTACCATCTAGGCGTAATAAAAAGAAGCGATTGATTACCTGTACGTAACCATGGCTTCTGCGATTGGCAACAGCAAGGTAGTCCCAGCGACAGCCAAATACTCCGACACCCTAACTGCGCACTCGCTAGCGCCTCCGCCCTCTCTTTCCAGCAGGTCTTTCCATTCATCGCTGAAAAGCATCGAGTACATCCCGTCTATCGAACTGAGATACTTCGACAATGTATTGGATCCCAACGGCACGACCAAGAACTTGAGATAATTCTGCCAATCCGGTGGCCGGAAGCTCAGCAGGTCCACGTAATGGCGCAGCACCGTGTTCACGAAACTGTCTCCACCAGCGATCACCACTTTAATCGGCGCAGGTGGTTTCGCTGAACTGTTGCAACTGTAAAAAAAATGATATCTCCCAAATACGCCGTGTTTCAAATGTAATCGTTCGTGACTATGTTCCTTATTAACTTCTTCAACCCCTTTATGCAAAAATGTCTATACGAATTTGTATTAGTATTTTCTGAATAGTAAACATAAAATACTATTTACTCCGTAAATAGTACTCTTATGAATACGTAATAAGAAGTGGGAAAAATATAAAAATATTTTTATTTAATTAGAGCTTCTGGAAATGCTTTAAAATAACCGGAATCCAATATGTTAGCTGTTAATTAAACAGTATTAAGGATTTCGAGCGATGTTATAACTGATACATCCATCAAGTAATCGTTTTCTCACAAGTCAAATTAATTTGAATTTGAAGATTGCTTTAAATAAAGTTTATAATCAATAAATATAAACCGCCGTGTGGAAGTCTCGTGTGCTCGTTTCTTTTTAAATAAAGGAAGGTTTTCCGGTTGACATCTTAATTGGATGAATAATATCGATAATGTATTAAATTAACTAATTACGGCGACGGTGGACGGTATCTTTTTGAAAGGAATGATAGTTACAATTTTTGTATTCGTGTGACCAAGCATGTAAACGTGGCACGAATGTCAGCTGGAGATGCAGTGGTCAGAACTCTGTGGTTCATCTCCTGAAGCCTCGTAGCAAGCAACGCTCCACCTGGATCCGCTAACGAGACCAATGACACAGAGTCCGGTAAGCTGTCATCGGGTAAAACGCGGCTTAATTGCTCTACTAACGCTTTCCTTGGCTGAAACAGTGTACAGATTTATCAATGTAGGCTCGATATATTGCGGATGTTTAAATTGATTAAAGATGAAGTAAGTTTTTTAGAAGAATACATTGAAAAATTAGTAATATAGAAATATACAGGTAAAGTTTCAGATTTGTGTTCGAAGAAAATGAAGTTTCTATTTCTACGAATAAACGTTTTTGAGAAAGAAAGACCTTTATATAAAGTGTCGCAAACAGTGTATTATAACTTAATATAGATTTTTCTCTACTCCACTACAGTGTAATAATGAAACATATGTAGAAAGACTGATCTACTACTGAAAATGACAATTTTCGTAATGGCATATCTACATATCTGCACTACTCACTGATTGGTACATAACTGTTGACGACAGATATAGAGATAAGAATAACAGAGTTATCGAAACGATATGCTATTTCAAATTCTCATTTCTCATTCCCATGTCAATTAGAATTTGTCCGAAATTGATACAAGTTTGTTAAATAACGCGTATATACACACGATGATCTACGAAAAACTGAAAAATCTGATATACAGTGAAAATAGACACAGAATCTCTAGGATGATAGATGTTTCCAAATTTTTGTATGTATTGAGTTGAAATTTTTTTAATAAGAAATAAAAAAGAGTCCTCAACTGTTCACTAACTAAATAAATACTACGTAAAAGCGAGAAAGAAGTGATTTCTATACAAGTTATAATAGTTTCGAAAACATATTATTTGTTTTGAAGGAAAAATTTGTTTTGTTTACCACATATAAAAAAACATGGAAATTGTTGCATCGACCCAATAAGAACATAGATATTTGATAATCTAAATGAGATCGAGTCATTTTACCCAGGATTACTCTACTCGCGCGCAACCTTATTTTTTAACCTTAAAGCATGCAACGAAATATTCTGAGCGTGCGGATCTACCTCAGAGCTGTTCAAGTCGGCGGGTGGCTTCAAGTCCACGCTGAGACTGTGTTTTTTAGACTTATTGCTACCCGGTGCGCCTCTGTCGCGAGCAAAAAGTCTGCTCCTTTTGTCCGAGCCCTCGTTTTTGTTGTGCTGCTCTGATTTCGGCGGAGAGCCCGGTACGTAATTCGGTGGATCGTTCGCCTCGTGATCCGTCCAATTTTCGGGATGGGAATCACTGTCCGCTCTCCGGGAGCTATCATCGCTTTGCCTATCCACGCCTCGTTCTGCAATGAAATTTCATTACTCCTCGTTGCAGCGCGCCCATCGATGGTTTCGCACCGCCACGCCGCGCTACGCCGCAAGCCCGAGACCAACCCCCTTTCCTCGTTGCCGCGTTTCGAGTCATTTAACCCCTTGCCACAAGAATTATTTCTCAACCATGATCGGTACATCCACTTTGTCATTACTAATTTATTGAAAAAAGGGAAAAATTTTGGGTATATTCTATGCCTATGTTTGCTCTATAATATAATAATTGATAACAGAAAAATAACATTTAATTTGAATCCAAAAGAACCGAGCAATATTTTTTTAATTCGAAAGAATTGCGTAATATTTATGTTTTTTAAACTCCGTTTAAAATGTTCACTATGAGTCTGAAACGTTATTATAAGGCAAGGGGTTGACGTGCGCTCCGGCAACCGTTTATGTCCCTCCTTTGCAGAAATCACGAAGCAAAACTGAGTTCTCGTAATGTGTTTACCTTTTACCTTATTAATTGTTTTGTAACAGTGTTGGTTCAAATTATAAGGAATATGGCGAGATTTATTGATGATTTGCTTGTAGAAAAAAGGAATTTTCTGTTCGTTTTATGTGTATGTTTATTTTAAAACTGAATAAAGGTAGGAGCTAAATAGTGCTTCATTTTGATTACGAAGAGATGAATGATGTATTTGTTTATTAAATTTAGTTTAAGGTTCTTTTTACATGTCTAAGTTCGAAGTTAAATAAAATTCTGTTTTTTTGTACTAAACGTTTTAATAAGTGAAGCAAATTGTAAAAGTGTATAAATGTATGAATATACATTTTTGAGAATCTTCGAATCATGAAATACAATCAGATGACAATTTTTTTAATTATATTAAATCGTTGTGCGAGAAATGATTTTTTTACCGCATTTAATAAAAATAATTTTTATTAACCTTTAGAAATACTTTCCAATAGGAAAGTAGATAACTTATTTCCTTACATTAGAAAGTAGTGTCTTTTGATGAAAGCAATTCTCGGAATGCACTTTCTAGCTTCTCTTTATTTTCTAAATGTTTGTCTCTTAAAGAATTGTATAAACTCTCGAATTGACGAATAGACAGCGCATCAGACCGAATTTAAAATTTTCATTTTTGTAGTTTTTAAGCGCGTCCTTAATAAGGAAATTCTATTATAATATCTCACAAAGAACAAATTATTCATAATAAGATCCTCGCTTATTCAAAGGATTACAATTAAAACTGATTACGAATCTCTAGAATTCATTTTAGCACTGTTCAAATAAACTGAACTGAATTATTCGAAAATATGATGGTACAATAAAAATTCTTTCTCAGATACTATGTTTTTATTTTCTGAGCCAACGCACTTTATGTTTAATGTAAAAAAAGTAAAATATAAATATATAAATGTCAATGTAACCTACATATTTACAATTTAAAAAAATGCAGTAACAGTCTAAAAAATGTTCTTTCTGATACGACCAGAAAATCCACCCCACTAAATTCTCGACCACCAGCTGCACCGTTTATTTTCGCTTCGCTAAAGGCGGTCTTGAGCTTGCAGCAAGCGTCGCGGATAACACCGCAACGGCCGACAGATTTTCGAAGGGACGAGAGTCCAATTAAAATCGCCACTAAAAACACAGCACACTTAAAAACTGTTCAATAGTTGGAACCGGCCACACACGAATGCAGAGAATACGTGAACTTACGAAAATCACAATCAAGAACACCGCGTGTTCGCGCGCAAGGTTAAAAGACGCATCGTGATCGACACAATCGGATCCACAAGATCGAATCGTCGCTCGAAATTTCATTTGACAATTCCGAAACGATCGATCGTATCGGATGGATCACGAGAACAATGTTAGTCTAAAAGTAGATAACAATAAATCGATAGTAATAAAGAGATACGTACGTACGAGCAGATAGAGAGAAGACAGAAACAGAGAGAGGCCAGCGGACAGAATTATTAAGAGTATGATTGAAAAAAAAACGCTACATACAGAAAACTGCGGATAGAGGCACACAGACACACAAGTTCTCCAGTTGTATTCGACGTTCGATCGAGACACGATCGGAAAGAGCGTCTAAAACGAGCGACCTGAACTATTCGTTTGATCGTCGAGCAAAACGTTCGCCTGTTCGTTCCTTGTCGTAGAAGCAAATGAAAAAAAAAGATTACTACAAGAAATCCAGATGCCAAACATTTATTCTTTTACTTTGCGGTTGTTACATTCGTTCGTAGTCTTACACATGTTTTACAACTACCGCTCAGGTGTGTTCGTTATTTTTTCGTTTGTTCAAGATCCGATGCAAGAACAACAGAACTGGATGTATACTAACGACGATTTCTGATGTCTTGCCAAAAGAAGAAAATGAAATTTGTGCTTCGCGAAGAAGCAAGATAAAAACGCGGAACGCTTCGATTATCCTTGCATTCGATCGATTTGCTCTGGAACCGGGGATCATACTTACTACGAAACGGACATCGAATCGTAATTGCTAAGATTATTGCCTAGATCAGGCTCTACTGCGAAACTACAGGCATCTATTTAATTACCGAACGTTCGATCGTGACAACACCAAGCTTCTGCTGACTAGCAGGGGTCATTCATGCGCTCGACTTCCTTCTCCAATCTATAAAATTGCGTATACACTGGAATATATCGATTTCTATTCTTTCTCGTCAACTTACAAGGGAACCTTTTCAACCAGCACACACCGATTTTGATAAAATTTATGTGAGACATAATTCGCAGGAGAATATTTTACACGCATTTTTCTTATCGGCCAACATCCACTTTGAAGGGGTGAAAACAACCTTCAAAGTTGAAGGTTAGAAGTATATTTTTCATAATATCTCTGAAACTGGGAGGTGTAGAAAAGAAATCTAAATTGTTCATTGCACGGCGAACAATTTAAAACAAAATTTTTTTTCTTAACTTTGAGGGTTGTTTTCACACCTTCAAAGTGAATATTGGTCGATAAGAAAAAATACGTGTGAAATATTTTCTTGGGGACTATGTCCCACGTAAGTTTCATCAAAATCGGCGTGTGCTGGTTGAAAAGGTCCCTTTGTTAGTTAGGGATGTGTAACTGTTGTGTGTCGTGTAAGGGAAGCTTCGTGAATTTCGAGGCTGGAGTGCGCATGACAGAAAGCAGAAATGGAAAACGGTTAATGTGTTATGTGAAATCTGGAATGGTACAGGGTTATCCATTTAATTCTTTGTTCTTCACTGGTATAAATGAATCGGTTACACGCGGATTGCCACGATTATCATTGATATTCAGCTAATTTAACTTTTAACTCTTAATTTAGTTAATTTAGTTAAGTATGCACTTTAGTTTATACGATTAAGCGATAATTATTCATCAACTTTTTAACCCTCTGCACTTGAAACTTTTTCCGTTGAATATATTTACTATTTTCTAATGAAATACTGATTAAATCTTTTTATGGCATTAAACAAAAATAATACACGACTGAAGGGTTACAACTATTTTATTTCAATATTTTATGTCTAATCGTATTACATAAAATTTAATATGGAATACAGAATTTTATCATTTTTCTGTGTCAAAGCAAATGGCGACTATGAGTTAGCTCTCGAGTGCAAAGGGTTAATATTATTAATGATGTAACATAAGGTAATGGTATTCAACAAGATAAACATACGAAAAATAATAATTTCACTCAATTATATAATATTTATATCGTATGTTACCATTGTAAATTTTTCATTTTACAATATCTTGGATATCATTCGTAGAATATATGAACATCATTTGGTAAATAGTAAACGTGGTAATGTCGAAAGATCTGATAGTGCCAACTTTCTCAATTTTTAACCTCCCACACTCAGAATGCCAACTGTGCTGTCATACATTCCTTACGATAACTGTTAACTAAGTTGTGTTGATATGAATATCCCTTTGCATCCCTTCATCGCTTCATTATGCATAACTATATTTTTTAACGAATATCGAGTATTCGAATAAGATAAAAAACGGGGGCAATTGAGTTAGTGGGTATCGCACCTTAAAATATTACAAAATGCAAATTTACATTAACAAATTAATGTATACAGAATCAAATTTGTGGTGGGAACCTTTCCTTCAAAGTAAAGCACACATGAAGAAGTACTCTGAAAATTTATTGATAATAAAACGATTGAAGATTCCGCAACGGAATATAACTGTTCGTTAAACAAAGTTAAATATTTGTTATCTCTTATTGTTATACTAGAAAAATGCAATCAATGCTTTTAACAAAGCAAATAAAAACTTGGACCAAATCAATATTGGCTAATTTCATACGTATCTCAGGAATAAAGTCTATAAAATTCATGAGTGTGAGAGTGATGATGTTAAATTATAAGATAAAGAGTTAAATGAATATCCCTGTATTTATTCAAGCGAAGATTTTATAATAAAAACTGAAAATTTTATATGCAAATAATCTCCCATATTAGCTTAAGTATAGTCGGCATCGTTCCATACTGCCCGTGTAAACGCCCGTGTAAAAGATCGTGCAGATATTATAAATATAGTATTTCTAAGGAGTATTATAAAAAAAGGAGAAGCTTTTCGGATTTAATTCGGTTACTTCAATGTTTAGTTCTTTTTCAAACTTCTTCATATTGAGACGCAAATATGTTGTGTTTCATATTTCTTGTGGAATAATTTTTATAGAAAAATGAAGGAATTATTAAAGAATAATCAATATTATACTTTAATTAAATCTACATGTATTGATTGAAAATAATGAACATTATTGAGCTTATGTATTTAAAAGGTTGAAGCAGGAAATTCTCCAATATTATATTCCTTTAATATTATTTTTAAAACTGGCGGAAATACAAAAAAATGTACATGATGTAATTATTGAATAAGTACTACGACGGTATAAATATTAGTAATCAAATTAATTTATTTAGACAATAGTTTCACTTATTTCTATTTTCAAATAAAAATTACTCGAATTTATCGTAGTTTCTTATAAAGATTATAAATTAGTTTCATTTTGAGTATACGAAAACCATAATTATCTCTCTCACACTGGTGTAACACATGACTTTAATTTTTACTAATTAAAGATAATAATGTTGCTTTAAAATCGTCAATACAGTTTCTATTTTTCATTAATGCACATTATTAAATAGTTTCAATTGTTTTAATACTCCAATTATCGTTTATTGGTTTCATAGTACAATCATAGAACAATTTACTAATTGAAATTTATATCACTATTTTGTAGTTAAAAAATCATTATTCGCTTTTTTTATATTTTACATTCATTATTAACAATTTTATTCCTTTAGCCACAAGTAAGATATTTAAATCATTCAGTGCTTCAAGATTTCCTTCAAAAATTGACGGCGTGTGACGACTTCCATGAATGGGACCACACTTTTAAGAGTGTAGGTATTCTTAGAATTTAAGAATACTCTGACATCGTTTCGTTTAAATACGTACTTTTATTCTTTCACTTTTTTCCTTATACAATAGGACCTCGATTAAACGAGTATCTTTTAACAATTAGCAGCTAATAATTTTTTATTAAGTAATAAAGATTTCAATATTTTTTCAATAAAATTTAATAAAATCGGTTTACCCCAGTTTTTGAATTTTTTCAAGCTATATCTGTTGTAATAAAGTAAAATATATCTTACAATGTTTATTTATTCTCTATTTAACGTTCGAACTCATGAAATCTAAATGTTATGTTTTCCTTGAATACAAATTAAATATTCATTTTTGTATTATCAATCGTTAACCTCCAAAACAAACCTAGACATAGAATAAGTATCAAATTCTTGTTTTCCTAATAAATTACTAACAATGAAGTATCTTTATCAAGCGAAGTCGTAAAAGAAATCATAGAGCAAGGGGTTAAAGCAACATTTGAAAAGTCAACGTACACTTTTGCATAGTGTTTTTGTTTTACGTAGTTAATCAATCTGACCAACGAGTGGCTCTTTTTTCTAAACTGTTAACTAGCCGTTCTATTAACATGTTGAACACCGCACGATTTCATAGAGCGAACTGCACAAAATGGAAAAAATATAATATTAAATCATTTGACTGAATGGAATAATTATCATTGCACGTTCATCTATCTGAATGCTACCGCATTATATATTGTTTATAATATGGATATGTTTTCAAATAATCACAGTTTAATTGAGTGCACTATAATAATTCGATTTGGTTGGGGGTCATTGGTGACTCCCTTGGCATTCAACGTGTTAAAACGGATAATCGAGGTTCCACTGTATTTTTAAGTACGAAGTGACTGTCGCGTAACCGAGTAACAGATTAAAAAGAAGGGAATGAACATCATGCTAGATTTACGCAGCCATGCTCGCTCGATGAGAAGCAGAAGTCCTTAAAACGATCCAGCTATAATTATCTTTAAATTCTGTCATCGAACACGTTGTTTATTAATAATTTTACATACCTGGAGTGGAGTGTCCAACACGGTGTTTCTCTTTAGGTGGCTGACCTGCGCTATGTTGACCTATGGCCGTCACAGGTGTGCTGCCGGTTTCCTCGTTGGCTACTACTACCGAATCGTAACATGCAACAATGCAAAGCCAACCCACCAGACTTTCACTTAGTTAAAAAAGATCTGAACCTGTACGGGCTACGAAACGTGTTTTATGCCAATATTCTCTTATTCTTAGCTGCCTAATCACCTTCCGGCAAGTGATAACAATGTGTGCTTTAATCGGGCAAGAAACAAATCAGAATTGATCGAGTGAAATCTTGGGACTTGGGGGAGTTTACTGCGAATATTGCAATTAAAATGCATACTAAATACGTACTATGGGATTGGGGGTTTGAAACAGAGACGCAGAAATTTAATATTTCAGTTGGTTTGAATACGAATTCACTGGTCGGATTAAGTAAGTAGTTAAGTTTCGAATCATCCAAAAATTATACTGTACATTTTTCAGTATTCGAATATTGTTCTTATTGAGAACTATCAAGTATTTCTTTCTATGTTTTCATATATAAAGATTATTAACGAAATTATATATCATAATATATTAATACATTTTTTCTAGTGTAATGTATTAATATATTTTTTAATTTTTCTTCTATCTTTTTCATTTTCTACCATTATTGGGATATTTTTATTTAGAGCGAGGAGAGGCGGGAGGGTAACAAGAAGTTTTATACAAAATTACTTTCTTACCATGTGATTAAATAAGAATGTAGAGTATGGCATGGATTAAATTATTGATTAACGAAATAAACGTATAAGAGTGCGGTATATGGGTAGAACATAGCATAAGCCAACATTACTTAGAAACAAGTAAATGCGAGATGATGGAAGTATTCGCTAAGGATATAATTGAACTGTCTTCGTCTCTAATTTAATTTCGTTTAGTGATGATATTTTTATTTCAACGACATTCTTATATTGTTTTAATCATTATTCCTTAACGAAATGAATACAAATTAAATGTATCGAAGTATGGGGTTGAAGAGTAAGTTCGTTTGAATTTATTAGCAAATGAATGGAATAGTAACTTAAAATTTTAATCAAACGTTAATGATCTATAAATGAATCCATATTTTGTATGTTTTCATTTTCTTTCAAATTATTTTGTATAATTTGTAAAAAAAAGCTTTAAAGATACATTTCTCAATTATCAGGAACTGACTTCCGCGTGCCACTTAATGTCTCGATAACTATAGCGTGTTACAGATTATGGTGATATTAACTGTATCCACTTACGTGTGACGATATATCATAAATTTTTATTAATCAAGACATAAATCATAATTTATGAGCTACATGAATAAGTTTCTAGTAATACGTTCTAATTACTACAGTATAATCATTACAAATGTTTTCATAAGATACCAGTAACCTAAAAAGATTAAAACATCCTATTGGAATCTTCTTAAAGATAAAATAATTTTTATCGGTATAATAATTCTGAATAAAAATTGTTATTTTACGTTGCTTAAAGATCACCAGTTGCTCCACAATTATAATTGCCATTACTATCTACAATTCGATTAAGAAATCATTAGTTGTTAATTATTGGTCATAAAAAAGCTATTAAATACCCGGAAGTGTTATGATTAAAATAACACGCAACTCTATTTATATAATTAAAATTCTTTGTATTTTTATCGGAATTCTTTTTATTTTTACTGCTGTTGCTTCATTACTTAGGAATGATAACGTGTATGACTCATTATCATGTTAATTGCCTCGGTCACATTATTTTCTCTGTAGATCAATTTTTTGTTGAACGTTCGATTGTTGATAGGTTGATACTCATAAAAATTGATACACATGAAGAATGAATTCAGAATATTGCAAGAACTGTTTAATCACTGACATACATTAAAATTCGAACGAACTTGTTCCTCGTATCAGAAGAGGGTATCAAAAAACTGCAACAGTCATAT